TTTGAAGAGATGGGTTGTGTTGGCTTTGTTGCTTAATGTTGGAGATGAACAAGCTAAAGGAGAAATCAAAGAGGGACTGTCATATTGATTTAAGATGATGAACACAGTGATGAAGGATGGATTTGGGGCCATATAGCGACCCCGGTCTTTTCTCTTTAAATTATTGTATCCGGACTTAGGTTCCGTGGATCCTGTCATTACTTATTGGTTGTTGTTGTCCTTTAATCTCTTTGTATTTAAAGTATAGGTTGTGTTGGGCGGGTCTGTTACAGGTTGGTTGATTTTAGATACCAATAGGTGATGCCCAGATTTTGGCCTTCACGCTCGAGCGGAAGTTTTAACGCTCGAGCGGTCCCTTCGTTGTTGCTTCTACGCTCGAGCGGGAATTTTGACGCTCGAGCGTGATTTTCCATCTCCCAGTATTTTGCTCTGCAGTTCTTCCGCTCGAGCGGTAGTTTTTACGCTCGAGCGTGATCCCTTGTTTTTGCTCCTCCGCTCGAGCGGGGAGGTTGACGCTCGAGCGGGTGCAGCGCCTGCAAAACTTCTGGAAGGGTGCAATCGACGCTCGAGCGGCTTTCTTCACGCTCGAGCATGATTCTGTGTCTTACGCTCGAGCGGGGCTTTCTACGCTCGAGCGTAAAGTCGATTATATCAGTCCGTGATTTCACTTTTTGGATCACTTTTTGACCTACCTTTTCTTTCTTAACCTTTAAAAACCGCCATTTGAGAGTTTCTCTCTCTACTCTCACCTTCTCTCTAAGATTTGATCTATTCCTTGTGGTCTTCTACCCTAGTTCCTTTGGAAGAAAGGTAGAGCTTCACGAGATCTTTCTTTTAATCTGAAAAAGAGAGGATTTGGAGCACTTTGGATTTTGGATCATCATCTCCATCTTCTCTATTTTAGTTGTGATCTTCAAGGTAGGGATTTCCTACTCTATTCTATAAGCTTTGTTCTAAGTTTTGGTATTTCAAGATGTTGGGGTTACTTAGATAATTTTGGGAAAAACCCTAGTTGTATTAATAAATTAATTTGTATTTTATCACGCCATCTTGCGCACCTCATTGCGCAGTTTTGTGCACACTACTTGCATTTTGCATGCATTTTATCGCGCAATCTTGCGCACCTCATTGCGCAGTTTTGTGCACAGTACTTCCATTTTGCACGCATTTTATCGCGCTATCTTGCGCACCTCATTGCGCAGTTTTGTGCACACTACTTGCATTTTGCACGCATTTTATCGCGCTATCTTGCGCACCTCATTGCGCAGTTTTGTGCACACTACTTGCATTTTGCACGCATTTTATCGCGCTATCTTGCGCACCTCATTGCGCAGTTTTGTGCACACTACTTGCATTTTGCACGCATTTTATCGCGCTATCTTGCGCACCTCATTGCGCAGTTTTGTGCACACTACTTGCATTTTGCACGCATTTTATCGCGCTATCTTGCGCACCTCATTGCGCAGTTTTGTGCACACTACTTGCATTTTGCACGCATTTTATCGCGCTATCTTGCGCACCTCATTGCGCAGTTTTGTGCACACTACTTGCATTTTGCACGCATTTTATCGCGCTATCTTGCGCACCTCATTGCGCAGTTTTGTGCACACTACTTGCATTTTGCACGCATTTTATCGCGCTATCTTGCGCACCTCATTGCGCAGTTTTGTGCACACTACTTGCATTTTGCACGCATTTTATCGCGCTATCTTGCGCACCTCATTGCGCAGTTTTGTGCACACTACTTGCATTTTGCACGCATTTTATCGCGCTATCTTGCGCACCTCATTGCGCAGTTTTGTGCACACTACTTGCATTTTGCACGCATTTTATCGCGCTATCTTGCGCACCTCATTGCGCAGTTTTGTGCACACTACTTGCATTTTGCACGCATTTTATCGCGCTATCTTGCGCACCTCATTGCGCAGTTTTGTGCACACTACTTGCATTTTGCACGCATTTTATCGCGCTATCTTGCGCACCTCATTGCGCAGTTTTGTGCACACTACTTGCATTTTGCACGCATTTTATCGCGCTATCTTGCGCACCTCATTGCGCAGTTTTGTGCACACTACTTGCATTTTGCACGCATTTTATCGCGCTATCTTGCGCACCTCATTGCGCAGTTTTGTGCACACTACTTGCATTTTGCACGCATTTTATCGCGCTATCTTGCGCACCTCATTGCGCAGTTTTGTGCCCCATTTTAAAAATATTTAGGTGGCGACTCTGTATCTGGCAAAGCAGTCCATGTTTGGCACTACTTTTTCAAAAATCTGTTTCTCAAAACGATTTGCCAGATTTGGACTCTTTGGTTCAGGTTAAGAACCGCGACAACAAAAACCGCGAGTCCGAACTGTAGCAGCGAGGTCCCTCCCCGCGGACTTGTTGCAGACTGTCATATTGATTTAAGATGATGAACACAGTGATGAAGGATGGATTTGGGGCCAAACTTTCCCCCACCAAAAAAAAAAAAAAACGTAGAAGCAACCGAGAAGAAGGAACAAAGAAGAAGAAGAAGAAGAAATGTAAGATCTCTGTCTATTCATTTACCTTCCTTCTTGCTTTTCCCTCTCCTTTTTGATTGTTTCTACAAACCCACAAAAAACCCATCTTTCTTTATATTTTCTTTGATCCTCAAGAACCAAAAAATGTTGAAGCTAACCAAACCTAAGATCAAATTTTTTTCTTTTCTTTTCTACTAAAGTTTCATGTTTTGTTGTTTACTTTCCATGGAAATTGTTTCAATTTTTTAAATATTTTTATATTTGGATTTCAGGTGTGTCTCTGCCGTAATCACCATTCACTACAAGAAAAAACACTTTTGGCGACTAAATTTTTAGTCGCCAAAAGTCCTCTTTTAGTCGCCAAATGTAGAATTTTCACTTTTCCCGACTAAATATTTTAGTCGCCGCTGTGGTCGCCAATACACGGTCGGCAATACCTTTGGCGACTAAAGATTAGTTAGTCGGCAATATACAGGTCTTCAGCGACTAAAGTTTTAGTCGCCAATAGTTGATTCCATTTGTGAAATTATACATTTAGCGACTAAAGTTTTAGTCGCCAATAGTGTTTTTTTTTAAAATTATTTATACAATTAGCGACTACTTTTTTCGTCGGCAATTGTCACTCTTTTTGGCGACCACAGTATTTTGTCGTTACTTTCACCAGTATTAATACAACAGAATATATATAAATATAATTATATATATTCAAATATAATTTATGTAAAAAATAAATTATCCATTATATTAAAAAAAAAAATTATCTCAGTTTTGGCGACTACATCCATTATTTAGTCGCCAATTCTACAATTTTAGGCTATTAATTAATTTTGCAGTCACTAAAAAAAAATGTTGCGCCTAAAAACACACCTTTTGGCGACTAAATCTGTTTTTAGTCGCCAAAAACGTCCCCTTTTGGCTACTAAATTGAATTTTAGTCGCCAATACTCAGTTTTTAGCTACTAATTTTTTTTTTGTAGCCAAAAAGCTTCACTTTCAGCGACTAATCTGGTTTTAGTCGCCAAAACACCTACAATCGGCGACCAATCTGCTTTTTAGCCGCCAAAACCAGCACCTTTGGCCACTAAATTGTTTTAGTCGGCAAAAACAATCACTTTTGGCGACAAAAATTGTGTTAGTCGCTGAAACCCATATAATAGGCGACCAAACTGATTTTTAGTCGCCAATACATATACATTTGGCTACTAAATGGTTTTAGTCGCCAAAGTCTTCATTTTTGGCGACTAAAATGGATTTAGTCGCCATTTGTGCAACTTTCAGCGACGAAATTCATTTTTTTAGTCGCCGTTGGTGCTTTTTGTTGTAGTGATTGCCTCACCGTCACCGTCGCCGCCGCCGTCGTGTAATTGTCTGACCGTCAGTGGTGACTTCGTCTCTTTGTTCATCTGTTCGTGAGGTGCTATAGGATTCAAAACTTAGACAGAGAAGACAAGAGAGGAAAAGAAGAAAACATAAAAAAAAAAAAAAACAAAACGACATCATTTTGAACTGCTACAAGGGCTATCACAGAAAATCCCGGTAGACGATCTAAACTCCATCTTAAATGAATTGTAATCAAATCTAATTGGTTATGAATAATTTGATTCCTCACTAGATCTGTCCACTCCTGTAATGCTAAACTATATGCTACTCAAGTATAGGGTGACAATTTTGGAGTAGCCATCCAACTTTTTCTTTGGCTTCTTATTGGGAAAAAACATAAGACACCGAAAGATTGATTTGTCCAAATCAGTCTCACTCTCACAAGGCGAACGAGGCCACACATATATCACATGTAATAGCCTCTGTTCCAGAAAAAAAAAAAAGGAAAAGTAAATGTACTATGAAATGAACATCTCCATGCTTCAGAGTTGAGACAAGAATGATCAAGCAGTTGGCGGTTGTTTTGGATTGTAGATTAGAAATTAAAGGTGCTTTTATTAATGATCAAGCAGTTGGCAGTTGTTTTGGATTGTAGATGAGAAATTAAAGGTGCCTTTATTAGATTGGTTATGAAAATTTATATAAATTACACTTATCCCATGTTTGATTTAAAAAGTTGAAAATCAATATATTAAATAAGGTCAAGTTTGATTATCCTAAATAAGTACACACTTTTTATCTTTTTTCCATCACATCATCTCTCTACTTTTCTGCACATCTTTTTATAAAAAGACAAAAAATATACTTATTTAGGTCATTCCAAACAACCCATAAATTTTCATTTTGCAGTATTCAAAAATCATAAAAAGGAAAACAAAAAATGGAAGAGTTACATCCCAATCTTCCCTTACGGCTGACATAGGTGAAAATTTGTCTTAGTTTGACGCTTTCTTTTATCTTTTAATTAATAATTTCAGAATAAATTAAACATATATATGGTCATAAAGATAGACCAATCTTCTTTATATGGTTAACATTAACTTGTGGAAAAAAATTTGTCTTCATCAACTTTATACATTTGTCACATGTCACTAGAAATGTTAATAATAAAAATAAAAATAAAAATAGAAACAGGATTTATGAAATAATTAATTGTCACATCAGAACCCCACAAAATCATTATTCATTGCACTGAATGAATGCCAGAAATGAAACTGTGGAAATTGAAAAACGACAAAAAAAAAAAAAAAAAAAATTTGTTCAATCTTTTTTTTTCCTCCTTCATATTTGTTATTCTAACCTTTTCTAAAAGCAAAAAAAAATTAAAATACAAAACAAAGGGGATGATTCTTCATGAGGTCAACTATGATCATGGGATATGATAATAAGGCTCTGGTGGTGAAGGAGACGGTTCACATGGCGGCGGCGGCGATGGAGGTGGTGGACACGGTGGTGGTGGCGATGGCGGCGGTGGAGACGGCGGGGGTGGCGATGGCGGTGGTGGAGACGGCGGTGGCGGACTTCTAGGTGTACAACCAAAAGCACCGCAATCCACCTGCTGAGAAGAAATCCCCTTACACTCCTCCACCGACCGCTGCGCTGGCCTCCCCGGAATACAATTTTCCCGATCATCACTCGCCGGCAGCTTGAGACACATGTCCGGCTCTCCATCGAAGAAATTATACGAGTAAGTGAAGTTCTGAAGCTTCGGCAACTCACATATACTCTCCGGAATCTCGCCGGAAAGTTTGTTATGCGCCACATTCAACTGCTCCAAGCTCTTCATATCACCTATCTGGTCCGGCAAAGTCCCCACCAACGTATTAGAGCTCACATCAAAAACAGTTACACTTGTCAACAACCCAATCTCCGGAGGCAAACAACCATTTAAACTAGAATTCATTAAAATGATCTGATTTAGAGTGCCACCCATTTTCGCTATACTCGGCGGCAAACAACCATTAATCTTGTTATTCGCCAAAACAACAACCGACACCGGAGAGTTCCCGAAGTTCTTGGGTAGTTTAGATTGAAAATTATTGTTGTTAATGAACAAAGCGTCGAGTTTCAAGTCGAAAAGGCTTGAAGGAACGCTTCCTTTGAATAGGTTGAATCGAATATCGAGGAATTTTAAAGATGGAAGTTTGAGAACAACGCTTGGGAATTCTCCGGCGAGGAGGTTGTTGCTGACATCGAGTTCGAAGAGGAGGCGGAGCTTGCAAAAGCTCTGTGGGATTGTGCCGCAGAAGCGGTTGGAGTTGATGTGGAAGAGAGAGAGGTCGGTGAGGAGGCCGAGGTCCTCCGGCAAGGTGCCGGAGATGTTGCCGTGGTTGAGGTCGATTCCGGCGACTGTGGTGATGTTGGGGTCATCGGGTGCTGGTGCACAGTAGACTCCGGTGTAGTTGCAGACATGGGGTCCATACCAGTTTGAAGTGAAGCCTTTTGGGTCTGAAGTGATTGAATGTTTCCATGCTTGGAGGGCTATGAAGGCATTGAGGAGTCTAGGGTTTGGGAAGGGTGGGGCAGGAGGGTAGGTGGCTTGGTGAGAGAGTGAAGAGAAGAAGAAGAGGAGAGAGAAGAAGCCCAAGGGGGCTAGGTTGAGAAGTGGGTTGATCTTCATTTTGGAGATGTACATGCCATTAATGATTAGCTTTGTGGTGTTGTTTGGTGTTTTGATGCTTGGGATATAGATGGTTTTATATATAAGTGGCGTGATGATTACTCTTGATGAAGGTTTTTTTTTTTTTTCCCAACAAATACTCTTGATGAAGGTTGAGCAGTGCCTATCAGTGATTTGTACCATATAAATATTGCCTAATTAATTGGATTAATATCTGGGTAATTATTGAATATTCTCTACAATTCCCAACCAATAATATATTAAAAAAATTACCAGTAAGATTTTAGGGTAAATTACAAATACATCCCGGAGATTTAATTAAAATACGATCGCTCGTTGTGATTTTAAAAATTACATTCCACTCTTGAGGTTTCTAATTTTATAATAAATCGTCTTTTTTATTAATAAATCATTAAGTCAATTAACAGTTTTTAATGATATTAAAAATATGTTTCAATTAATAATTTATAAAATTTTATTATTATATTGGAGAGCAATTATAAATTTTATTTTTTTTAGTTAATTCTGTTAAATAAAATTTTTTAACAATGGGGTATTTGTAACTTTTCAAACTAGAAGGGGCAATCTGTATTTTAAGCAAAGCTAGGGAGGTATATTTGTAATTTATCCAAGATTTTATTGACATACTTTTACTAGGAAACAGATTCTCTACAGTCTACTATATAGACTGGATCGTGTTATTCAGGTTTATGGAACTTATTATGGGTCTTATTTTTTTAATTCAAATAATTCAATATGTAAAATTTGTCGAGTATTTTATTCGTGCAAAAATTAGATTGATCGAATATTGATAACTATTTGATCGGATACGATTTATGTCAACAATTTATTTTGAAAAATATATTTACTGTTGACAGAAATATGATTTGATCAAGTGAACTATTGATATTCAATTAACGTGATTTTTTACAATAATGAAATACTCAACGATTTCTACACATTAAACGGTTCGGATCATTAAAACAAGACACATGATGAGTCCTCACAGGCCTAACAACACGCTCCAGTCCAATCTCAGAGTAAAGAGAAACATGGCCCCTTTTATTAGGTAATTGAGAAAAAAAAAATATTAAAATCTCGTTTGGAAACTTCTAATTAACTTGAAAATTGACTAATTCAATTAATTTTTTAATTTTTTATTAGAAGATGTATAGAAAATTAAAAATAATGATTTGATAATTTATAATGACTTTTTAATTTTTTTTACTAAAATCCTATCATCCCAAACAAGGCTTAAGTATTGTTAATAACTAATGACATAATATAAAACTTTACAGGTTAGACAATTTTCACATAACATAAATCTTTGTTAAGTAGTTAAAAAATATTATTAACTTGTATCAGAGTATTATATGACATTATTTATATGATGCTATGAGATAATAAAAATAATAATAGATATACAAACTTCTATTATATATATATACATCACAAACTGATATGTCATGTAATATTAAAGTTTGGAATTTCAAATAGGATCCACCAAATTTAAATGATAGGAACAAATTATTGCTACTTCAGTTTATAAAGTAAGTTTCTAAAAATAAATAAATAAATAATAAAAAAATTATTTGTATAACATTAGTTATTAGGAAACCATAAATCACAATAAATAAGTTATTATTTGTCTCTCAACTACTTAATAAAAGTAAGTTAATAATGTCATTCCAATAAAATTTTGGACAAATTGTATTAGTGATCCCTACATTTTGCCCATTTGTGTAATTTTGATCTTTATATTTTCAATTGACTCAATTTTGGCCATTAATTTTAAATTTTGCATCAATTTTATTCAATTGATAACTCCATTAATGTTTTTGAAGTAAAACAAGTACTGAATTTGTTGAGATTAACTCACTAAATTAAGTAAGTTTATCATTTTGCTGGTAAAAATATGACATATGCCACTTATATGCGTATTTTTTATTAAAAAAATGTTAAGAATTGTAATTAATTTGATCAAATTAAAATAAAATTATAAATTCATGATTAAAATTGAATTAATTGAAATTATAAATATCAAAATAATACAAAGACTAAATATAAGGACTATTATTGTAATTTGTTCTAAAATTTCTGACTAAATTATTCATTGAGATCATTTAAATAAGGGGAACTTACAAATAAGTCCCATATACAAAGTTCAAGATCTATCTAATTCCCAAACAAAACACTTACACTAATTAGTCCTATATATTTTTAATTGTTACCAAAAAATACTTTTTTTTTTTTCTTTCCAATTCATAGATGTTGTTACATACTATTACCGTCAAACTTCCGTCAAGCAGTCACTGGAGACTCGTCGGAATATTCAACATCATCGGAAAGTCGCCGGAGTATTGCCGGGAAGTCGCCGGAAGTTCACCGGAGTGTTAAGAACGTTAATGGAAGTCGCCGGAATGTTCAGAACGTTCACGGAACGTTAAGAATATCATTGGAGATTCACTGGAATATCCAGAATATCGCCGAGAAAAAAAAATAAATAGAGAAATTAGAGTGAAAAATATAGCAAAATGTGCTAAATATTGATAAACTAAAAGAAAAAAAAAATTGAACGACAAAAAACAGTAACAATGGGAAAAACATATGCTATTTTTTAATTTTTGTAAGGTTTAAACAAATAATCTTCAATATTGATCAAACTGAAAAGTAAGTTTTGAAATTGTAAAATGTTATAGTTTTAAAGCAAAAATCTATTAAGTATTTATTCTTATTAATCAAACTGAAAAACATGTTATGAAACTGTAAAATTTTACAGTTTTATACCATGATTCATTCCAGCACCAAAAAAATTTAAAATTGTAAAATTTTACAGTTTTCACCGCCTGTAACTAAAACTCAAAAACAATTTGTTCAAAATTTAAAAATTTTATCCATTAGAACAGAAAAAAGAGAAATGTATAACAGAGAAAATGTAAAAAAAATAAGAGATCGAAGGAGAGAGGCGAATATAGAGAGATGATTGTTCTCCGGCAACTATTTTTTGTTTAAATCTAACCGGATCTAATGTAGATCTACATCAAATCTGATGTAAATCTACTCATCTTCTTCGTCGGAAATATATTTTATTTATTGTCGGTGAGAGTGAAGTAAGTAGTCAGCGGTCGATGGTTGTCGGTGAATCCCAATCGATAGTAGTCGTCGGTCGCCGGTGACTATATATTAGAAAGAGAAAGAGAAGAAGTAAGATATGATTACCCGTCAACGATCGCCGAAAAACACAAAGAACAAAAGAGACAAAGAAGAAAAGAGGCAGAGAGGAAGAATAATAACGTTATAGAACTTTTAGATATAGACAAAAAGTTATGAGACTAAATAGAATACACGTTTTTTAAACAAGACTTCCTGATAATTTTCCCTTTAAATAATGAATAACTCATCTAATTTATTTTATTTGGTGATATACTTTATTTGTGGAAACTACCCAATAATTTCCTTGAAAGCGTTGACCATATCGCACTTCCGTAGTAATAATTTAGGAGTACAATTATGCATAGAGGTTTTTATTTTTTTTTTGGTAATTATTTATGGAAATGCATAGAGTTGTTGATGTATTAATTTAAATTTAAACTTAATATTTCTTTTGACGTCGTGTAAGGTCATTTTTAGAGTTTGTTTGATAAGTGAGTTGGTTTTTTAGTTTTTTGATTTTTTGACTATTTTAGTTTAGGGTTAAAAATTCTCTTTTTGAATAGGTTTTTTGAATTTTTTTGGCTTTTTGTTATTTTTGACTTTTTTTGTGAGAGAAGAGTGTAATAATTATGAGTTGAATGTAGCGTTTTGTCTTATTAAGCTAAAAATCTTATTTTGTTTTTTGTGACTAAAATAACCTCAAACTCAACCCAATCCAACCCAAGTTGCCAAACGAAGGCTTTTTCATTAAATTTAAATTTGATAAAAAAATTAATAAAAATGGTGTTCCAATTGTTTAATCATATTGGTATTAAATGAAGAGAGCGGTATATTTTTTATTAAATGAAGAGAGCGTTTATCCTTTCATCAAATTTTACAGGTGATCGTTGATGGACGATTGAGTAGACAACGTCCTGGACAATCGATTTTGAAATGAATTTGATGAAAATTTAATCTAGACCAAACGACTTGGCGAATAATCGACTAGGCAACCGACTAGATTCGATAAAACCATTAAAGTATATCATATCAAATCAAATTCTTTTGCTAATTTAGGCCTCGTTCGGAAATATGTTAATTTAGTAATTTTTTGGCTATTTGGCTAAAATATGAACTAAAAAAAACTAGTACGTTTGTGATGACTTTTTGACTTTTTATAAAAAGATGTGCAAAAAGTAGAGAGAAAAGAGAATCTTTAATTTTTTGATATGAATTATTGACTTTTTGACTTTTTGACTTTTTGACTAAACCGGTCGCTTCTCAAACGAGGCATTAATAAAACATTAGAAATAATCTAAGAAAAATGATTGGGAGCTCTAAATTAGGAGCACTAAAGGAGCTCTAGAGAGTGGGTCCCACTGACTGATGTGATGTTTTGGCCTTAAGTTCTTTTTTTTTCTTTTTTTTTTTAAATTTTCACCTCATTAGTGGTCCATTAGTGCTCCCAAATTAGTGAGATGTATCATTGTTGATAATCTAAAAGGGTGGTAACATTGAAAGTTCATTTATTTATTTTTAGTACTTTTTGTATTTATTTGTTTAGTTTTTCATGGCAATGCACTGGCATGGTAGGCTAGGTTAGATGATGTTGTACTTTTTATATAGAGAGTTTGATGGAAAATGGTTATGTGATCTCACCAAAACACGGTTTTATTACGTTGGTGGCTTACAAAAGGTAGCATTATTTCAAATCTAAAAGTTGGTATTACTGCCTCTTTTTGGGAATAAGTTAAAAATTAATTTTTTGATTTTTAATTTCTAATCTTATCACTTTTTTTATATATATTTTTATATATTTTTAAAAAAAATTAAAAAAATAATTTTTAATCTACTTCCCAAAAAGGTAGCTTTTAACCTATATTTTTGCAGTGTTGTGCTTATTATTATTCAAAATGAGCTATGGAAAACAGAAAGGTTGGGACACCAATT